TGTCTTGGCCGAGCAACTTGTCCGTAGTGTTAACCCACCCGTGAATCCCACCAGCACCATATCCATGTAAGCGCTGCCTTCCTTCTGGCGCCGGATTTATTTCCCGACGTATCATTTCTGTTCCGGGGACCACAACGTAGCCACAGTAACAACCCAGTGATGGCCATCACGCCGTGCCTTCGCGAGCTTGTTGGCCCGGACGGCGTTGACCGAACCTTTTGATTATTCTTCAATGACCAGTTTTTTTCAGGAAGCTCGGTTTTGGTTTAACACTCTGTTAAGCAAGATGAAGATTATGAAAGAGGTTATAATTTTATAATAATCTAATTGTATACATTATATTATGAATCTATTAACTAATAAGTTTAATCTGTATTACAATTGAAATTTTAATTACCACGTCGCGGAATCAAATGGGGTGGGAGCCCCTGGGATGTCTGAATGGGTATAAAGTGGGGCGAGAATTTATAGATAACACCCACACCATGTGATAAATGGTAAAATACCAAGGAGCACTAGTGACGTCTTGGTATCCCTACCGATGATCGTAGCTACAGGTGTAGTCACGAGGTGACTTTCATCTGCTTGGGGAGACCACTGAGCACCAAGAAAGGAAGAGACAAAAGATGTTAATGTGAGTAGCTATCTATTGAGTGACTTCTGATCCAAACCAACTGGGTGTCTATGGTCAGCTTCCAACCAATTTTTCTGTTGTTTGTGAGGATAGAGGCGTGAGAACATCGCTAACAGACGAGACCCCGGGCTGCAGGCTGTACCAACCACCGAAAGAAGTGTCGAGGTACAGTGTAACGTGATTGCCGCGACCGATTAGCACCGCGGGGTAGACTACAGCCGCGAGAACGTAGCCCTAATGCTGGCTGGGTCCCGACGCCTTGCGTTGCCGGCGCGGGCGTCCCTCCGCTGCCCGGCACGGCAGAGGTGTCAGACAGAGACACTGGTCGCACCAACATGGATTTTTGCCCAGAAGAAGTACAGCTGCCCAGGGCGCAGTTTACCTGACTGGGAGAAAAACTGCAAACGTCGCCAAGAGTTCTGAACCCTAAGCGGAGCAGGCGGCTCTGGATCAGACGGCAGAACAGAACAGACAGAAACCGTGAACATCACAAGTGGCGAGAACCACGTTCTCAAGTACTTCTGCTTATAGCCGACACGAGAACTGAGAGTCAGCGAAACTCAAATGCAAAATATCTTAATGACGCACACACACAAAACCCAAAGGCATGGACGTCAATAGAACTGGGGGAATTTATGATATATTTTTTTTTGTCTTCTGTGGCGTTAGGTACAATTTTATAGGCTCATCACCTAATGGGGATGTTGTCAGAACGTTCAATCTCAAAATGACAGGACGATATGCTGTGCTAGAGTTTGGAGAGACACAGTGTATATGCCTTTTGGAGAACACTAGAAAAGGCAGCAGAGGTGGGTGGTTTAATGTTTACTTTATACACGTCACACTTTATAGAAGCTATATGTGGAAGTCTGTGGCAGAAGACTTCCTTTTTCTATGTATAAAAAGGGATGTACTAGCACTCTGGGAGGCCGAGGAGGGAGGATTGCTCAAGGTCAGGAGTTCGAGACTAGCCTGAGCAAGAGCGAGACCCCCGTCTCTACTATAAATGGAAAGAAATTAATTGGCCAACTAAATATGTATAGAAGAAATTAGCCGGGCATGGTGGCGCATGCCTGTAGTCCCAGCTACTCGGGAGGCCGAGGCAGGAGGATCGCTTGAGCCCAGGAGTTTGAGGTTGCTGTAAGCTAGCCTGACGCCACGGCACTCACTCTAGCCTGGGCAACAGAGTGAGACTCTGTCTCAAAAAAAAAAAATGGGGGTGTGTCTGTAGGGCGTGGCGTCAGACACAGAGCCCACAGCGAGATTCTCATCCGTCAGCTCCGTGCTGTGCTAGCTTTGCCACTCCCAGTGCAAAAAGAAGACATCAGTTTTTAGCAGGTGCACACATTTTACTGAAAACGCCAATTAGAGTTACCCTTCTGTTGGGAGGCAGTGGAGAACAGGAAATGTGTTGCCATTAAATGTGTTTTTGTGAATGTTTTCAGAGTATTTAAGGACTGTATTTTTGTGCGTGTGGGTGTGTGTGTGTGCACGCGCGCGTGTGTGTGCACGCGCGCGTGTGCGTGTGCGTTTCTGAGGGGAACCGCGGGAACTTCATCAGCGCTGGCCGGCACACGTTCGGTGGCCTGCGTGACCAGTCTATAAACAGGCAACTCTGTAGAAATGGTGGAGATGCCACTTTCTGGGGGAGGAAAGTGTCAAGCCTACTAGCTCTCGGATTCCTCGTCCTGACCCTGTGTCGTTCCTTTGGACTTGATGCTTGACTTCAGACCAGTCACTTAGAGAAAGGACTGGCTTTTCATTTGCGGGCAGAGTGCTGTCCTTCCCATTCCAGCCCCAATCAAAGACCAATCATTGCTTTCCAGGTTAAATTTATTAGAGGCCTTTTGCTTCTTGAGAGGTAGGGACTTTATAAGCTCCGAACAGTCGTTACTGTTATTTTCATACCTGCTGACGATGCGTTTGGCACACGATTTAACCACTTCGGGACCTTGCTCACCGGCCGCGACACCTCGCCCACGGCCGGCACTCGCGATCCGCATGGCGGTCTGCGCTGTGCGTGGACGGCGCGTCCGTCTCGCTCTTGTGTGACGAGGAAAGCTTGGAAGCACCGAGAGCTTGTTTGACTTTGCAGGCGGCTTTCCTTGTCATGTCAATATCAGAACAGGTAACACAGACACGTATGTTTTCATGACGTTATTTTTAAACGTTCACAATTTTATTTTGATAAATGAAAAATTAGAAAAGTCGTATCATGGCTGTCGGCTAAAGTCACTGTGGGCGTTCATCTGTGGCTGTCGACTACAGTCGACGGCTGGTCCCGAAGTGGTTAAATACATCCTGCAAGTCAGTGATTTTCCGAGTGTGGTCCCTGGATATGTGGTGTCAGCATCCCCTGGGAGCTTGTCAGAAATGCAAACGCCCCAGCCCAGACCTGCCGGGACACCCTGGCACACAGGCAAGTTCAAGGACTACCGTGTAAAACTACATCTCCACGACACAAACACTCTTATTTTAAAGAAAGCATTCAGGAAGAGTTTATTTCTGCCTGGCATCTGGGTCTGTGCTTCTATACCTACCGCTACTACTCTACAACTGCTAGGTTACATTATTATTCATGCTTAATCTGGGCCAGGTACTGAGCTAAACAATGAATGATCCCATTTAACGCTTCCAGTACCCCTAATGAAATCGCTGCTGTTATTATTTCCAGTTTATAGGTGACACAATTAGAAATCAGGAAAAACCTGATGGGTAAAGAGAGCACCCGGCTAAGAACTAGATGAGCAAGAATTCGGACCTGTTCTGTATCTGGCCTGCAGCTGTGGTTACAGCTTCCCTAAGCTAGGTTAGAGCGCAGAACAGGCGTGCTCCAAACAGAATTCTGCCTTCAAAGAATGGATCTCAAAATGTTCTCGTGCTACTAAATTTTACTATTTAGTCATTCATTTGGGTAAAGCATGAAGTCCTTAAATTCAACAGCACATTTTACAAAATCAAAAAATGCCTTACAGCAGGTAATGGAATGTGTAAACGTATAAGAAAAAAAAGCCAATTAATATGGCTTAAAATATCTATTCCCTCTCTATAACACTGATCTACAGTTACAAAGTGCTAGAAGTAGGGCAGAATGAAAATCGGTCTAAACAGGGCCCATTGCTGGCCCGGTTGTCAGTTCCCTTCAGGCCAGCAGGACCAACGAATTTGAGATAAATGCTTTGAAAACAGCGTGGAACTTGCTTCCATGTTAAGAAACAAGTAAGCATCAGCACGTGGACCAGTTAACGCTTTCCAAGTGCTCCCTGGGACGCAGGCAGAGCCCAGTTTATCTGCCAACCGTCAACGCGAGCTCACGGAAGCCAACTAGACCCTGCCAGTGTTGGCCCCAGACAGCTGCCCGCCCTGGAAAGGAGAAGTAAAAATACCATGTTTCCCCGAAAATAAGACGGGGTCTTACATTTATTTTTCCTCAAGGGGACACCCTAGGGCTTATTTTCAGGGGATGTGCTATTTTTTTTAAGGACGGTACGACCATCTCCATGGATTCAAATAGAGTGAAGTCGTCTTCTTCTGGAACATCATCCTCACTCTCCAAACCCCGAATTCCATCCTGAATGTCTTGCGACTCTGTTTCCTTTAGAACCACGGCCCCGATCTCTCCTGTGGAGCACTAGAGCTCTCACGGGGCAGATGAGAAGGGCTGCTCGTTTTCTTTCCCGCTCTGCGACGACACGCATGGGTTGTGCAGATGCGCTGCGCAGCCACGCCCATCACTAGGGCTGATTTTCATAGCCACGCCCACCACTAGGGCTGATTTTCAGGGTAGGGCTTCTATGGCGCACATGCTTAGACATCGTGCTGGGGCTTGTTTTATGGGTGGGTCTTATTTTTGGGGAAACACGGTACATGAAAGCTACAGAATCCAGTGGGGGCAAAGTACATTAAAAACGAATGAACCAAAGAGCCCCCACAGTTCTTGCCTCCTGAATTCTTGCTGCTGTTTTCTCTCTTGGAGAGAGAAAACTCCCGCCCAGGGACCTGTCTGGTTTGAAGAATAGTGCCCCCCTCCCCCCACTGCCTGCAAAGGGTTGTAGAATTCCCATCCCCCACTGTTTGCAGACCTTGTGGGCACCTGGGGTTCCCACGACAGTGGAGGGGTTCAGGTGGGCTCTTGAAGAGCGAAGAGGTGAATCGCACGGCACTGGGGACTTGTGGTGGGCCGTGCTGCTTTCCCGTCTTCACTGGCCCCCAAATCTCAGAGGTCCAGAGGCTGCCCCTTCCCACACCACATCAAGCACATTAAAATGCATCAGACATACGGAACATATTAAAATATATCCTCGGTATGTATGTGCTAGACATTTCAAAATACTTCCTCAGTATCACGTATGTGTATGTGTGTATAGCGACAAGGTTCATAGAGTAAGTGGTCGGAAGAGTCTGGGCATACAGAAGGAAAATCTTGTAAGAATTTTTTTCATGAGTAGTTTGTAACAGAAGGTACGTGTTACCACAATTGTTGATAATTTCGGCCGTAGTATGGCGAGTGTTTGGACACCCGGGGTAATAGCCTGGCTACAGGAAATTTTGGAATGAATTTTTGGCTATGCGTAACATTGCTTAATTCACGACAGTGAACGGGTCTTCTCGGTCTCATCCGCGGACACCCAGGATTCCGTATGAGTCAGGAAAACCGAGCATCTCACAAACTATTGTTCAAACTAAACTAGACTCTCTGAAGAGGAATAAAAGAAACTGCCCATAATGTTAGGATTATATTAGAAGTTATTATAGCTGGTATGATTAAGTATAAATAAATATATTGGTATATAATATAAACATCATGTAGTGGTACTAAGAGTATAGGAGAAATCATGATATGTTTGTATTAAAGTCATTGTTTGGGTCGATTTTAACAACTGGGTGTCGTTAGATTTAACAACATGAGAAGGGGTTTGTGTGAAGCTCCAACCCGTGTCAGACCTGGCGGAACCCACACTTGCTGCTGAGCACGATGGCGCTTGGAAGCGGCCCGTTGAGTCACGTGGAAAAAGACAGCGCAGCCCGGACTCCGTTCAGAGTCATTAATTCGAGCACAGGGACCTGGGAAACAGCCTTGACAAAGGAATGCAGCAGTAGAAGTTCACTTCTAAATGCAAGCGTAGTTTCACGAAGACGGATCAGCAGAGCGTGCAACCCTCAACAAAACATCTTCTCTTTACTGTGAGACTGAGATTTGAATGCAGTTGGTTGTCTTCAGGGGCTCGTGTCCAGAACGAACGTCAGGGCTGCTTCTGGCTCTGGGGATTTTGGCTTCACCACGCTGAAAGACGACGACACAACGTCACGGTGTTAATAATAACAGGCACGGGGCGTGGTCCGTGATCTGAGCATCTGGAGCCCGAGCTGGTGGATGCGCTCGAGGTCAGGAGTGTGTGGAAAACCAGGCCTGATCAAGAGCGAGACGCCCCGTCCGTAGCTTAAGTTAATTGCCAATAAAAGGTGGTATGTGAGAGAGTAGCTAGCCCGGCATGGTGCGCATGCCTGTAGGTAGGCTACTCGACTGAAAGATCGTTTGGGCCAGGAAGTTGGGTTGGCTGACGTAGCTATGCAGCGAGTCAGCTCTAGCCGGCAAAGAGGTGAGACTCTTCTCAAGCGTAATAAATAAATACATAAAATAAATGCAAGTGAAAAGAAAAGTGGATTTGGAAGAGTAAAGTAAATAGCGAACAGCCCGACGAAGTGACGGTAGATAAGGCAAGACCTGCAAAGGCAGGAAAGTTCTGACTGCCGCCGACAGTACGCCCGACCGCTGGTTCCCCTCTCGGACCTCAGACGCTCTCTAATCTGTGTGTGCAGGTGGGGACCAGCTAGGGTCTGAGCACGCAAACGGCACCAGGACAAGGACCCGCCCACACTTGTCCGACCGCTTGGTTCCCCTCTCCGGACCTCAGACGGCTCTCTAATCTGTGTGTGCAGGTGGGGACCAGCTAGGGTCTGAGCACGCAGACGGCATCAGGACAAGGACCCGCCCACACTTGTCCGACCGCTTGTTCCCTCCAGGACCTGCAGACGCGTCTCTAATGTGTGTGTGCAGACGGGACCAGCTAGGGTCTGAGCACGCAGACGGCACCAGGACAGGGACCCGCCCACACTTGTCCGACCGCTTGGTTCCCTCTCCGGACCTCAGACGGCTCTCATGTGGTTGTGCAGACGGACCAGCTAGGGTCTGAGCACGCAGACGGCACCAGGACAGGACCCTGCCCACAATTGTCGACCGCTTGCTCCCCTCTCAGGACTGCAGACCGCTCTCTAATCTGGTGTCAGTGGCCAGCGTATGAGGCCGCGAGACGGGGCACGCGAGGAAGGACCTGCCCAACTTGTGGGGCGGGCGACTCCGGCTTGGTTGCCCCTTCAGGACCTGCAGAAGCCGCATCTCTTAAGTGGGTGTGGGCGCAGACGGACCAGGTGGAGGCTGTACAGCACGACCAGGCAGAATCAGGAGCGTTTGACGCGGCCACATGTCTGGGCGGACCGCTTTTCCCTCTCAGGATCTGCAGAATCGCTTGATGTGTTGCAGATGTGAGCGAGGGGGGTAGGGTCTGAGCACGGCAGACGCATCAGGACAGGGAGCCTGCCCACACTTGTCGGAGCTTGCTCGTTCCCCTCTCAGGACCTGAGAGCCGTCTGAGAGTGTGGTGGGCCCGGGCGAGAGAGCGCCAGCTAGGGTCTGACACGCAGACGGCATCAGACAGTGGGACCTGGCCACACTTGGTGCGACGCCGCTTTGTTCCGCTCTCGGACTGCAGACCGCTCATCTAATCTGTGTGCAGTGGACCGGCTAGGGTCTGACGCACCGAGGACGGCACCGGGAGCAGGGACCGGCCCAATTGTCGCCGCTTGGTTGCCCCGTCTCAGGACCGTGCAGACCGCTTCTAATCTGTTGCAGGCGGAGCCAGCGGTGAGGTCTGAGCACGCAGACGGCACCAGGACAGGGACCGCCACCTTTTGACCGCTTGGTGCCCTCTCAGGACCCTGCAGGACGCGTTTCTAATGCTGTGTGCAGGGTGGACCAGCTAGGGCTGAGCACGCAGACCGGCAACCACGGACAGGGGACCCAGCTTGTCCCGACCGCTTGGTTCCCCTCGCAGGACGCATGATCCGCTCTTCTGAATCGGGCAGGGGCGCGGGAGGGCCGTAGTCTGAGCGCAAACGGCACAGACAAGACCCGCCCACAGCGTCGACCGCTTGGTTCCTCTCGGCCTGCAGATCCCGCTCTCTTAATCTGTGTGCAGAATGGGGACAGGCTAAGGTCTGAGCACGCAGACGGCCCAGGAGGACCGCCCACACTGCTCAGACTGTTGGTTCCTCTCCGGACCTCAGACGGCTCTCCTAATCTGTGTGTTGCAGGGTGATAGCTAGGTCTGAGCACGCAGAGCGGCACCAGACGGGACCGCCACAGCTTGTTGCGACGCACTTGGTGCCCTGTCCGGATCAGACCTTCTCTAATCTGTGTGCAGGTGGACCAGCTAGGTCTGAGGCAGCGGCAGACGGCACCAGGACAGGACCCACACACTTGTCCGATGGCAGCTTGTCCCTCCTCCGGACCTCAGACCACTCCTGCGTGAATCTGTCGTGCAGGTGGGGACAATGCTGGGTCTGAGCACCTGCAGACGCGATCAGGACTGGGCCCGCCACAGCCTGTCGACGTTGGTTCCCTTCAGGACCTGGCAGACCGCTCTCTAATGTGGGGCAGAGGACCAGCTAGGGTGTGACAGGCAAAGGCACCAGGACAGACCGCACACGTTGTCGACGCCGCGTTGTGTTCCTTTCAGGACCTGCAGGAGGCGGCCGCTTCTTAATGTGTGTGTGCAGATGGGGACCAGCTGGTCTGAGCACGCAGACGGCGATCAGACCTGCGGACGCCCACCCACTTGTCCGGACGTTGGTTCCCCTTCAGGACTGCAGGACCTCTCTTAATGTGTGGTGCAGACGGACCAGCTAGGGTCTGAGCACGCAGACGGCACCAGGACTGGGACCCGCCCACACTTGTCCGACCGCTTGGTTCCCCTCTCTGGACCTCAGACGGCTCTCTAATCTGTGTGCGCAGACGGGACCAGCTAGGGTCTGAGCACGCAGACGGCACCAGGACAAGGACCCGCCGACACCCCGCGGCCGTGCCGTGCCGTGTGCGCTGCTGAACACGAAGTATCTGGCAAACATGAGAAGAGAGAAGGCGAATCTCCGTGATCAGGAACGGCCGCAGCCCAGCACCGCGAGGCCACCACGGCCTCGGACCCACCGCGCCGCCCCGCCACGCACCCCCCACGCACGCCACCTTTTGCGACAGCACCAGCTCCACCTTCCCGCTCATCCCGTTCTCCGGCTTCTTCTGGGATGTTCCCTCCTGCCCATCGTCCTTCGGCTGGGGGCCGGGGCCGGAGGAGAAACCCACGAAGGCCACGGTCGGGCTGCACCGGGTCACCGTTGTCGTGAAGTGCTGCGGCTCTGGGGTGGCACGGCGTGCGGGAACGTGAGAGGAGGAAAGGGAAACTGTCAAGGGCCGTTCTTTGGCACCGCCGCGGAGTGCAGTCCGCACCCTGTTCCGGCGACCGCGGTCGGGTCTCAGCCTGACGACGGCGGATCAGAGCCTGAGACGCTGGACTGCTCTAAGCTCTTTCATGATGTTGTAGAATAACAAGCAACACGGGGCACCCCAAGAATCCCCACTACGAAAAGCGTTACGCTCTTAATAAAGGTCAGAGCTTGCAGCCGAGAAACATCAGGTGAAACAAAACGCCGACATGTAAAAACTTGATTACGAGAGTCGGGCTGGGTAAGAGAACAGCGACAGATGATTTCCATCCCAGTGACTCTCTTGGGCAGCCTGACTCTCTTCCTTTTGCATTTCAATCCTTCTTTTGAACATCACAATTTCTTAAGTGAAATGTGTTAAGGATTGAGGGATATATGCACATGTGTGTGCACATACCCTTTCCCCGAAAATAAGACCTACCCGTAAAATCAGCCCCGGCAGAATGTCTAAGCATGTTCGCAGTAGAAGCCCTACCCCGAAAATAAGCCCTAGTGATGGGCGTGGCTATGAAAATCAGCCCTAGTGATGGGCGGGGCTATGAAAATCAGCCCTAGTGATGGGCGTGGCTATGAAAATCAGCCCTAGTGATGGGCGTGGTTATGAAAATCAGCCCTAGTGATGGGCGTGGCTATGAAAATCGGCCCTAGTGATGGGCGTGGCTATGAAAATCAGCCCTAGTGGTGGGCGTTGGGGTAGGGCTTCCATTTGCACACATGCTTAGACATCCTGCCGGGGCTGATTTTACGGGTAGGTCTTATTTTCGGGGAAACGGTATGTGCACACCACATGTGCATATATCCCTCAATCCTTAACACATTTCACTTAAGAAATTGTGATGTTCAAAAGAAGGATTGAAATGCAAAAGGAAGAGAGTCAGGCTGCCCAAGAGAGTCACTGGATGGAAATCATCTGTCGATGTTCTCTTACCCAGCCTGACTCTCGTAATCAGTTTTTACATGTCGGCATTTTTGTTTCACCTGATGTTTCTCGGCTGCAAGCTCTGACCTTTATTAAGAGCGTAACGCTTTTCGTACGTGGGGTTTTCTTGGTGCGCCCGTGTTGCTTGTGTATTCTACAAGCATCATGAAAGAGCTTAGAAGCAGTCCAGCGTCTCCAGCTTCTGATCCCCGATCGTCAACGCTGAGACCCGACCGCGGGTCGCCGGACACAGGGTGCCGGACTGCCAACTCCGCGGCGGTGCCGCCAAAGAACGGCCCAGTTGGACAGTTTCCCTGTTCCTCACTCTCACGTTCCCACGCACGCCGCGCCACCCAGAGCCGCAAGCACTCACGACAACGGTGACCCGTTGCAGCCCGACCGGCTGGCCCTTCGTGGGTTTTCTCCTCCGCCCGCCGCCCCAGCCGAAGGACGACGGGCAGGAAGGGGAACATCCCTGGAAGAAGCCGGAGAACGGGATGAGCGCGGAAGGTGAGCTGGTGGCTGTCGCAAAAGGTGGCGTGCGTGGGGGGTGATGTGGGCGCGGCGGGGTGGGTCCGAGCTGGTGGCCTCAGCGGTGC